CATCAAAAGGAGATGGAAGGAACAAAGTCACTGATCAAAATAATTGGTTGATGTTCAAACATTTCAGGAGGTAGCATATGATCAAGAACAAATGGTATTGAGGGAAGAAGGTCGAGCTATACTGAAGGCACTGGCAAAAATCAAGGCTTCAGGAACTGACGGAATACCCATTGAGGTGTTTCAACAAATGCAATGCTAGAAGTGCTCACTCATCTAGGCCAAGAAATTTGGAAGATAGCTACCTGGTCAACCAACTCAAAGAGAGTCATATTTGTGCCCATTCCCAAGAAAGGTGACCCAACAGAATGCAGAAATTATCAAACAATATTATTAATGTCACACGCATCGAAGATAATTCTAAAACAGTTGCAGCAGTACTTCAACAGGGAACTGACAGAGATTCAAGCTCGTTTCAGACGAAGACATGGAATGAGGGATATCACTGCTAATGTCAATGGATCTTGGCTGAAAGCAGAGAATACCAGAAAGAAGTTTATCTGTGTTTATTGACTATGCAAAGATATTCAACTGTGTGTATCATAACTAATAATGGATAACATTATGAAGAATAGGAATTCCAGAACACTTAATTGTGCTTCTGAGGAAACTGTACGTAGACCACAAGGCAGTGGTTCAACAGAACCAGGGGTATTGCATAGTTTAAAATCAGGAAAGGTATGTGTCAAGATTGTATCATTTCACAAAGATAGCTATTCAATCTTTATACTGGGCAAATAATTTGAGAAGCTGGACTATATGAAGAAGAATGTGGCATCAGGATTGGAGAAAGACTCTTTAACAATCTGTGATATGCAAATGACACAACCTTACTGAAAGTGAAGAGGACTTGAAGCACTTCCTGGTGAAGATAAAAGACTACAGTGTTTAATACTCAACATAAAGAAAACAAAACCCCTCACAACTGGACCAGTAAGCAACATCATAATAAATGGAGAAAATAATTGAAGTTGTCAAGGATTTCATTTTACTTGGATCCACAATCAATGCCCGTGAAAGCAGCAGTCAAGAAATTAAATGATGTAATGCTTTGGGCAGACCTGCTGCAAAAGACCACTCTAAAGTGTTTAAAAGCAAATATATCACTTTAAATATTAAGATGCACCCCATGGTCTTTTCAATAGCTTCATATGCATGTGACAGCTGGAAACAAATAAGGAAGACGGAAGAAGAACTGATGCCTTTGAATTATTATCGTGTTGGTGAAGAATATTGACTATACCGTAGACTGCCAGTAGAAAAAACCAATCTGTCTTGGAAGAAATACAGTCAGAATGCTCCTTAGAAGTGAGGATGGTGAGATTTTGTTTCACATAATTTGGACATGTTATCAAGAAGGACTAGTCTCTGGAGAAAGATATCATACTTGGAAAAGTAGTTGCTATGTGTCGTCAAGTCATCTCTGACTCATAGTGACCTTATGTACAACAGAACAAAACACTGCTCAATCCTGTGCCAGCCTCATGATTCCTACTATACCTGAGCCCATTGCTGCAGCCACCATGTCAATCCATCTTGTTGAGGGCCTTCCCTCACTTCGTTGACCTTCCACTTTACCAAGCATGACATCCTTCTTCAGAGAATGAGAGAATAGTCCCTTCTGACAACATGACCAAAGTAGGTGAGACTAAATCTGGCTATTCTTGCTCCCAGGGAGCATTCTGGCTGCACTTCTTCCAGGACAGATTTGTTCTTTTAGCAGTCTATGGCACTTTCAGCATTCTTTGCCAGCACCACAACTCAAAAGTATCAACCCTTCTTCAGTCTTCTTATTCATTGTCGAGCTCTCACATGCATATGAGACTATTGAAAATACCATGGCTTGGGTTACACACATCTTAATCTTCAAGGAAATATTCTGGCTCTTCAGCACTTGAAAGAGGTCTTTTGCAACAGATTTGCCCAATGCGATATGTCTTTTGATGTCTTGACTGCTGCTTCCATTGGCATTGATCATGGACCCAAGTAATATGAAGTCTTCACAACTTCAATCTTTTCTCCATCTATCATGCTGCTGCTTATTGGTCCAGTTGTGAGGATTTTTGTTTTCTTTATATTGAAGTGTAATTCATAGTGCAGACTGCAGTCTTCAATCTTTATCAGTAAGTGCTCCAAGTCATCCTCACTTTCAGCAAGCAAAGTTGTGTCTTCTGTGTATCTTAGGTTGTTACCGAGCTTGCCTCCAATCCTGATGTGATGTTCTTCTTCATATGTTCCAGCTTCTTGGATTATTTACTCAGCATACAGATTGCATAAGTATGGTGAAAGGATACAACCCTGACATATTCCCTTCCTGATTTTAAACCATGCAGTATCCCCTTGTTCTGTTTGAATGACAGCCTCCAGGTCTGTGTACAGGTTCCTCATGAGTACAATGAAATGTTCTGGAATACACATTCTTCTCAATGTTACCCACAATTTGTTATGATCCACACAATCAAATGCTTTTGCATAGTCAATAAAACACAAGTAAACATCTTTCTGGTATTCTTTGCTTTGAG